CCCCCATCCACCCCCTCTCTGCTGTGCAGCTGTTGGATTATCACACTCCCGACAGTGAAAGCCTCCCTGCCAGAAGTCAGGTGGTGAGGTGAGGGAGAGACTGACACAATCATATGGTGATATGTGTCAGAGAGAGAAGAGGAGGAGGAGTGGAGCTTTGTCAAATGCCAGCGCAGAGGATATGAGGGAGAGCAGTGTGTCAGTGTACAATACAAACACATAAGAGGTTATGTTAGATCTCTACCGTATTGTCAAGAAGGCGTGCACAGCAGCTATACAAGAACAAAGCCGCAACTCCAGTCCGCTCAACTCTATACTAGAGGATTGGAAATGATTAGAATATATCACAAAAGTAGAGCCAAAGTGGAAAGGCATCCATTTTTTGCTTCAGGGCTGTGAGGCGGCACAGAGGAGGAGTGTTTGGATTTGAGAATGTGGAGCAGGGATGAGAATGTGGGTCAGAGTGACACTGGACAGGCCAGCGTGCCTGCGGATGAGCTCTACGGCCAGGACAGAGGAGGGAGCGCGACATATCCCCACTAAACCACAGTGACGACGATCATACAATGTGGAAAACAACTTGGTTGCGTTTAAGAAGTCCAAAGTCTTGTTGGGTTGGCCCTACACTGATGTTTTAACACTATGTACTAACTCAGGATGTGAATTAATGCAATATCTGTAAGAAATATCTCTCCAGGTACGTGTGCTTTCATTTAAATGAGTGACCATGATTGATGAATCTGCTGATTATTTTATTAAACGTCAAAAATACAGTTTATATAACAGCTCTCAAGGTGCAGTCGTATCACACCACACTGTGTGATTATCTGCATACACCAAATGCAAATCCGTCACTGTAATGGATTAGCATACTGTTTCATGCCCACAAATGACATCACAGTCACACCGACTTCTCTGAGAGAGGTCAGCTTCATCAGTTTAATGGTGGAGAAGATAAACAATGAATCATTCAGTCGAGTGCAGGTCATAAACATCTGGCTTGTGATAGCTGTCTGGTACGTTTACAAGACTACACACTATTATTAAAGGCATACACCCAATATTAGTCAGTGTTATGTGCAGCCAAGCTCTGTCACAAGGTACGCTGCCTTAAAAGATGCAGACAGGTGACAAATGACAGGAAACAAACAGTGTCTTGGTGAGGTGTTGAGTCAACACCCAGAGCAGCTTCAGTGCACCGTGGCACATATTCTAGTAGTCTCTGAAACTCTACTGTGATTCATATTGTTTTCAAGGAGGGCCTTTTGCTTTAATTAGTCACCTGAAGAAGGGCACTATGTGGATGGGTACGGGTGGGCGGGCATGTGTACATGTGAAGGGACTTTTCACACCATCAAATAACTGCTCTGTTTGAGTAATGTGCCTGCATTGAATGAATGGTGTCAATAAAAAAAGAAAAGAAAAAAAGAAATCACCTTAAATACTGAATAATAGACTATTTCCTTTTAAAATGAGAAGCAACCCTAATTTCACAACATTTTCTAAAACAGGTTTAGCCTCAGCCAATACCTGCTTTGTGTGACAAATGATTTCCATAAAACAGAAGCATTGCTCATAAGTTACTACATGTCTTGAAGGCACACCGGCACTAGTGTCCTGTCACACGGAACAGGAAACGGTTGAGCAATTATCTATATACCGGTTACACATGATAACAAATCAGAGTGTCAGTCTGACTCATTGTGATGTAGGCTTATGTGAGGAGTGGCAGCAGGCAAGTTGGGGCATAAGGGCTATCTGCTGCTACGTCAGTAGACTCTTGCAGTGTCTTCAAGGTTACGCTGATGAAAGTGTATGTTGGGAATATGTGGCACTCAATAGTGGTAAATGTGTGCTACATAGTGATACATGGGTGAAATTTTGCGGATGGCTTTAGACTTTGCTAAAGAAGATGATAAACTCCAGGCCATAAGTGCAACCAGTCTCCAGAATTCACCAGTAAGGCCTGTTATTGGTGACATGCGCGCGCGTGTGTGTGTACAGTTACACCCATGTTCCTCCATTATTATTATGGCCATGTGGGTGGTTGGGCCCCGCTGGCCTTCACTGCCACTCTGAAACCTTCTGCTTTGTGTTTCTGCATGTGTGCGGTTGTGTGCGTTCTCTCATCTGCAGACAGGACCTCCCACGGCTGAGGGCAGCCTGCTGGCCGCTAAATGACGCACTTCACTCAATGAGCATCCTGTTGCCTCTACCCTTTCCCTGCTGTTTATTATGGGGTGGGGGGACTCATTACAGAGCGAAGCCTTCTCTCCTCTGTAAGCTCAAAAACATTTAGACGTCAGATCCAATGGAATGTCTACTGATTTTAATATTAACCAGACAAAAAGCAAAGTCTGAAATATATCCATGTATAATGTTCTAGAGCTGCTGTGCTTAATTTCTAATAAAATGCAGAGGAAAAAATCTTCCTAGCAACTACATCATCACTTCAAGTTTGTGACAAAAAGCTCTGCAACATGACTAATCTGTGAATTTCTTGAAAGACAGGAAAAAACTCAATATACCAGGCAAAATGTGCATGTGAAACCAGTAACCAAAATGTGATTGAAATCAGGCAAAATTCTGATATTTATCAGATGGACTAGCCTGCCTGTTTGTCATTAGTGTTTAAAAAAAAGCTTCTTTTCATTTTCTATTAAGCAGTAAAATGCCACTCCAGTCTAGTAAATGTAGCAACACACTTGGAATTGGGCCTTTTCCAGAGCTGATGATGGAAGTAGCAGGTGTTTAGCTGGGTGGCGCTAGAGGTTGTGGGCAAAACTATGTGTTGCACAGTTTGCTGAAAGTTTGAGAGCAAGGGGGGTCGTTTTGTAAAAGGCACGTCAAGTAGACTTGGAGTGCCATAACAAGGGCCGACAGCATCTCGCTTGCATGGCAGCTTAGACGGTCCTTGCTGTTATTTGAAAACTGCAAATAAAATAATTTGTATAGGTCAAGTAGAAATTCACTTTGGGCAACATTCCCCTGTATAGAATACCATGGTGTGTCTAATTTGCTTTTGCAAAGTGACTGCTGCACATGCTTACATGGAGATGTCAAGCTGAAACAATATATTGTTTCCTCCTCTTACCTCTGTGACGTCCATGACTTTGATGGCAGCCAGCTGTCCAGTCTTGACATGACGTCCCTGTGAAGAGACAAAACAGAAGTGAGTGTTTGACCAACTTATTTTACTGCGGAAGTGTGACTGTCAGAAACACAGAATTTAAAAACACTTTCAGGTGCATTGCCCAGTAAGTTATACATGTTACATTTACAAGTTGTCATTTTGTATTTTCATACAGTGTAAAGTGCACATTATTTTATTGGGGGGGGGGGGTTGCTTTTAATTTGTATAGGAGCTGTGAACAGTAAAAGAGGGGAGAGAAAAAGAGGAGAATGACAAAAGGAATCGAACCCAGGCTGCTGCAGTGAGGACTCAGCCTTTGTGTGCAAGTGTTGAGCGATTGACAGAACATTATATCAGCAGTTTTGCTGTTAGATGATGTCTTAAATGTTTTTAAGTCAGCAGCAGGGCGCCGCCGTGATGAATCTTGCACCAGGTCTCCTGAGATTGAGCGTCGCTGCACCATCTGGAGGTCAAATCCTTATTATTGATGAATCACATCTCTAGTAAAAATGCCACAGTGTTGCTGTTTTCAGCCTGGAAAATGTGAAGATTTGCTGATTCTCTGTTTTAGTCTCCATCACAGTGCACTAAATATCTTTGGGTTTTTGGAATGTTGGTCAAACAAAAACTCTAACAGCCCTAATTGTATTAATAAAGGATAATTAGTGTTGCTCAGACAAATGAATACTGAATACATTTAGATTAATGAACTAGTCAACATAATCTTTTCACATGGCAATCAATCAACTGGTTCAATTTCTTTAATTGTTCCCATCATTAGAGACTGTAATCTGTATCCCACGGTATAAGTAAACCTACTATATACAGAACATACCACAGATGAGCACATCATTCCCAAGCTATATAGCCCCAACATTCCCAGACTTACTCTGCTCTCCTAACACCCTACTGCCACTCCTTACATAAACAAAGGACCGAAATAGAGGCCACTGTACAACCACTCCCTCCCACCCCCCTTCCCGAGAGGAGATAAAACATGGGACATGTTTAGGAGCAGGCCCAACTGGGTACGGGTATTCCCCTTCTGACTCTTTAGGACAACACTGCAGGGACAACGCTGCTCTGTCTCTGCAGCAACTGCATCGGGGACACACACATCAATACACTGTATCGATTGGCTGGACTGACTGGTTGCAGAAGGAAGACACGTGTAAATGCACAGTCACACAGACTCAGACGTATGTGCACCCCCACCACCATCATCATCTTAGCCAGTGCATTCCATAGTCAATTGAAACTGTATGGATTATGACAATAAAAGCCATGCAGGCTTAGGGGCCCTCCCTTTTCACTGGGCAGGAGAGGGGGATGAGAGGGACACTTTACAATGCCTTTAATCCTCCCCACTTTGATCCCAGGGGTCGCCACTACAAAAACAACAGTGAGGCTGACTTTACGGCTGTCGGCTCCACATGTACGAGCTGCTAGCGCTAGTCGGTGACCAAGTGCACTTGGTCTGTCTGTCAAAAAGAAACAGCTTGTAGTCAGAGGTTTTATTAATTTACCCTTCCTAAGCCCCGCCCCTTTTCACTCTGTGCTCCAATAACAGTTGAGCTAGCCTTTGATCAACAGTCTCATTTCCTGTACTTAAATATGCTATGTGGTAAGCTTGTTTATGTTGAAAAGACAACCAAATGTGGAAGATTGTTAAAAGATAAGAGGGCCATATGGTGGATAATGATTGATGTAAATTAGCTAGCGGGTTAACTAGCTCACTACGTAACTAATTTAATATTTGATGCCACGATGTGTGATGACATTATTATACATTTTCATTAACTATACACTGTTGTGCTTAAACAATTAGTCAGTTAATTAGCTGATAAGTTGAACTACAGGAAAATAATCTGAAACCATTTTTGCTGATTATTTAAAGCAAATAATATCCAGTTTTTCTTCTTTTTAAGTGAAAGGTTAATGAGCAACACACCCTTTCTGATTTCAATACACTCAGGCCTTTTTATGCTACAGCCTTGCTTGGTCTGGGTATGACCAATAGCTTGTTTTAGCTAATGTTGGTTTGCTAACTTTATTTTCTGTTTATGGTCGTATCCCACTCACTCCAAGTCAGGTCACCTAACAACGATGTCTTTCAAAGAACCGAATGTAGAAAATCTTGAAATCAGATGTGCCAATGTTGTGTATAATTGCTGTTTGTAGCCACAGTGGCCACGGTAAATTACATAGACTTCACTTCCAATTGTTAAATTCACTGTTTATAGCCTCAACATTTTGCAGAAACCTTTGGGACAAAAGAAGCAATATGAAAACACCACCAGGCACCAGTTCTGGCAAAATGTCACAAATTTTAAAATTTTCAGACCAAACTAATAATTGATTAATCAAGAAAATAACTGATAAATTAAAAAAATATTATTTTCAGCCCTATAATATTCGCAGGAACTAATGAGCTACACATTTCTTAGTGGAGCAAGACTCTAAAAACAGTTTTCTGTCTCATTTTTGAGAAAAGATCGCACATTTTAAGAATAATGTTACCATTACTGCATGAATCACCATTATGTTAGTAGCTACAAAACTCAAACAGAGAGTCAGCACTGACTCATGGCCACCACTTTTTTCCTTTTCCACTTATGACAGGAATCAACGTTGTTTAAAGCCCTCTGGCCCACACCTAACAACAGGTGTAAACACTACACCTGCAGAGGTTAAATAGTCTTAATCTTAAAAATAGGCCTGAAAGAAAAGACGTTGGGAACTTTAGAATCAAGACTCCAATTGTGTCGCTGCTCTCCAGCAAGTCTCCTCTATTAGCAGCTCAGTTTGAAAGGAATACTTTGAGACAAAGCTTGCTTTGATCCAAGGGGATAGTCACAAAGAGGACATCCAGATATTTATGGGATACAGCTAACTCACTAACAATGCCATTAATCTCTCTTTTTGGCTGTTAATAAACCAAAGCTGTTCATTCTTACAAATCTACAGTTGACAGTGTCTAAATAAATGTGTTTAAACCTGAGACAGCTTAACAAAAAAGTCTGTTTATATTGGGTTTATTGATGATTTAAAGACATGTGGTCTGCAACAGATATCAGAAGGTGAGGATATGAATGTGCAAAATGTTTCTTGCTATGATTTCTCCTCTGTCAGCCTGAAGAATTTACCAAGCGTCTCTTAGCTTCTGGGTGGAGATATGATTATCTGGACCACAAGGTTATTGCATTTTGAACCACAAAACAACTGGGTTACACAACATTAGCAAATGAGTAATGAGATGAGTTTCTTGGCGTGCTCTAATGCCCTCACTTCATCCATCTATTGTCACCAAAATAGGAAAAACACTGAGCGGTTACTTTGCGGTTAGTGCACAAACAATGTAAATGTGCACAAATTCTGCTCAATAGATCCTACAAATCTCCTATTAACTAGGTTATTCTAGGCAGGACTGGCAAACTAAATCATAGAGCACTCCAAAGTCAACATCAGATCGGACACATTTCTCAGCCACGTACTCTCAATAGGACTGTAAATTAACCATTTTTAAGAGGTTTTATCTAAATGACTGTAGATTAGGACTAAGCCTAACAAATATTGTCATTATTAATTAATCTCTCTTAATTAATCATTTGTTTTACTATGTTCAAACTGCAGGCAAAAGGCCTAAAACAGATTTTTTTTGTTCATATGTGACTCAGCTCTCTTTTTTCATACAGTTCAAACATGACAGGTCACAGGGAATCTGATCTTTTCAATTCTGATTCAGAATTCATGCTACCACTGCAAATCAACTTGTGAATGACACCGTAAACATCGTCTACAGTGGCCTCCATGTTTACTCCTGTTATTGTTCTTCTCAGTTCAGGCCCGTTCAAACTGGAATCTGATACGGGTCAAATTTAAAAAAATATGTTTATTAGCTCTAAGGATTGCAGTGTGAACGTAGCCAAAGAAAAACAGCAACTAGGTCATGTTTGACATTTTAGCATGAAAAATGACTTATCACAGTATCTGAGGTTTTTGTGTGTGTTTAGTCCCTTACATATCTTGGATTTAACAGATTTGTTTACGATGTACTACAAGCTAACTGATTTTTAAAGCAAATATCGTATTTATATTTGAGAGTTTCAAAAATTAAATCTGTTAACAATATCGGTCAATATTCACAAACATGTAAGAAAGACTGTGTTTGATAAGGATATTCCATCAGGGATAGACACCATGCTCCTGACCTGAGTTTCAACATGGATCTGGCACTCCCTGGCTTTGGTAGGGAGGGGCGGGTTTCCACAATAACTACACTACTATTAACTTATTACAGATATTGGTGATCACTCAAAGCCCTCTGAGCCTTAAATTATGCCCTCCTCAATCACAAAGATATTTAACCCTTTAGCATAACAACGCTTGGAGCATAACGTGCGGCATTAACTGTTTAGCGTAAGGAAATAACTGCAATAGTTATCAAAAAATAAAATCCATTAAATTTGAACTAATATATAGCAATGTCAATGCTAACTTGCCTCCTTTTAAAGGCCCCTTGTCCTATATAGGGCTGCAACTAATTATTATTTTCATTGTTGATTAATCTGTCGGTTATTTTCTTACGATTATAAAGTCGGAAACTTAAATTAAACAATTAATCAGTTATAAAACGTCTGACAATTACATTTACTGATGATCAACTAATTGATAATCGACTCATTTCTTCAGCTCTTGTCCTGTGGTTGGACCCCGTTACACAGACACTCGGAACATGCATGGGTTGATCACAGGGGGGCTGCGGCTAGTCCCTGCAGGGCCCTCCTGATGCAGCCAGCTAGGCGTGGCTGCGGAGGGGTTATCTGAGGAACTGAGCTATCACTCAGCCCTCCCTGGCCTCCATCTCCTCTCCTCCCAACCCAGCTCCTCTTAACCGCGGCCAGATGTGCTGCTGGCCTCTCTCCAGCTCAGCACTAAACCACTGACTGACTTATTGCCTTTAGAGCCAGAGACATTAAGTTAAAATCTACCCTAAAACAAAACACACTATTCTAGGA